TGTGTGTGTGTGTGTGTGTGTGTGTGTGTGTGTGTGTGTGTGTGTGTTCAGGCAGTAGGATTCTGGAGAACGGCCTGCTGTTCAAAGAGCTGCTGCAGACTCCAAACTTCAGAATCACAGTGGTGGATGATGCTGATACAGTGGAGCTGTGTGGAGCGCTGAAGGTACACTCGCACACTGAACACACATGAGACTGAGGAAACTGCTGTTTCTGTAGTTATTGATTATTGTGTATCAGGGTTATTAGTAGTCAAATCATCCAAAGTGTTGGAACCTTGCTGTTTTTGATCAGATTTTAATTTTATTTTCCACAGGATGTCAGTGGTACAAATGGGAAACTGGCAACAATGGTACAGAAAAGAACTCGTGTTCAGCATAACGGGGCAATTTTATAAAGGAAATAAAAAAGTGTCTGTATCTGACAGCGTCTCAGAGCAGTGTTTGAGATTTTCTATTCCTCTGTGATAAAAACAAATGATGTAATCTAGCTATAATAATGGTGTACTACTACTACTCACCTTAAACTGGAACATCAGTGTGATGACGACACCACCACCACCGTCCAAGTCATTGGTTGCCGATGCATTCAGGTGCGCGTAGTGGACTGTGTGTGTGAATGTGTGTGCTCTCCCTGTCTTCATCTCCGGAGCAGAACATCGTCGCGGTGGGCGCGGGCTTCTGCGACGGGCTGCAGTGCGGCGACAACACCAAGGCGGCCGTGATCCGCCTGGGGCTGATGGAGATGATAGCCTTCGCCAAACTCTTCTCCAAGAACAGCACCGTCTCCACGGCCACCTTCCTGGAGAGCTGCGGCGTGGCCGACCTCATCACCACGTGCTACGGCGGCCGCAACCGGCGAGTGGCGGAGGCCTTCTCTAAAATGGGGAAGGTAGGCGCAACGCGGAGTCTGATGTCTCTGCAGCGTGACTGTGAAACACTTTGCATGCGTCATGTTTTTTATTTTTATTTCCACTCTTAGAGCATCGAGGAGCTGGAGAAGGAGATGTTGAACGGTCAGAAGCTGCAGGGTCCTGCCACCTCAGCCGAGGTTTACCACATCCTCAAACAGAAGGGCCTGGTGGACAAGTACGTACATTCATCCACCCATCTGTCTGAAGTTTTGTTTTTGGCATTTAAAGGGGCTCCGTGTATCATTTTAGCTCTTTACTGCAGCAATGTTTAGAGCACCAAGTCACCAAGCCAAATTCCTTGTATGTGTCCGGTACTTGGCAATAAACAGTTTCTGATTCTGAGCTACAGGAATAGTTTGACACTTCCTTGCTAAGAGTAAGATGTTCAGATGGATGTAAACATCCAACGTATCCTCGTACAATCGTTCATATGATCTAATATGCAAAGTTACTCCTCTTTTTTTAGTGCGTTTTCCTACGAAAATCCGGCAACACGTGTCAATTTACGCTTGTTACTTGCACACAGTCTTTTCAAGATAAACTTTCCGTCTTCACAGGAAACTGCTCCGTTAGGTTTGGGCAACAAAAATACTCGCTGGTTAGTTTTAGAAAAAGATTGTAAAATACTAGTTAAAAAATAGTTTTAAAAAGTGATTTTGTAGGACATCTACGAACTACATTGCCTTATTTTTCGTAGGTATAGCTACGAATGCTGGCTGAGGCCCAGCCTGAAACCTCATGTCTGTGTAAAGGTCTTCAGCTTGATGTGTATAAACTGGGCTGGGCTTTGACACAGCACGTTCGATCCATCGGTGCTCCGGCGTGCCTCCCGATGATCCCTCTCCAGTCTCTGATTCTCTCCGTCCTCTCTCCGCAGGTTCCCTCTGTTCACGGCGGTCTATCAGATTTGTTTCGATGGGAAGCCGGTCCAAGAGATGATCTCCTGCCTGCAGAGCCACCCGGAGCACATGTGATCAACACAGTCACACCAAGGTTCAGCTTTAGGTACTAATGCTGTCATAAAAAAGACAATGACCTTTATCAATTCTAGTTAAACCGATATGGACGAATGAAAGATCATTTTGGACCAAATACCTCTATTCACCATTTTTACAAAATATTTACACAATGAGGTTTTTGATAAATTATCATCAGTGATGTGGATATAGTGACTACTATATGGCAAGTAATGTTGACAGTAATGGCAAGTAATAGAACATTTAAAACCAGAAAAACACAACACTTATGCCATATAACGATATCCAAATCTAAGACGATGTCTCATATCCTGAGATATATCCACATTTCATTTCTTTAATATCAGAGTTATCGTCAGTACCGGTATATCCCAACACCCCGAACCTTTGCAAACATTTCCAGGTTTGCAGATATTTGAAATGGAAACTGTTTTCTTACTGTGACAGTACAGTGGTTTTCTCTAGTGACTTTCTTAAATATCAACATGTAGGTGCTGTCCATTACTTGAGACGACTCAGAAATATCAGCCACTCCGAGCCAGTCTGCTCATACTGGTGCACGTTAGTTATGTCCTGCACAAGCACAACAGCAATGGACATTTACTTTGTGTGTCTCAGTATTTTTATAACCTCACAGGGTTTGTATTCGTACGTTTTCACTGCCACTCAGGGGAACATACATTAGTGTTAAACATTGTCAAAAGGAATAAAAATAATAATAAAAAACGACCCTCACAGTATCCTTCCTGGGACATCTAGCACTATACATTTTAATATTCTGCCTCTTAAATGTCTGTTAATCATGCCTTTGGATAAACCAGCATTAGCTCAGTGTTCCATATATCAGGTGTGTTTCTGTGAGCGTTTCTCTCTGAACTGCCAAACTGTTGCCAAGTAAGAAGTAGTAAGTCGAAGTCTTGTATAGAGTTCTCTTCTATGTAACTGTTTGGTTCAGTGTCCTCTCAGTCCAGTTGGGTCTGTCACAGATGCTTCCCGTTGGAACGTTTAGGGAAGCGGCTGTGCACCAGCTTGAACCCTGAATTATTTTGTTTGTCCTGTAAAAGTGAAATGTGTCCATTAAAGCATTAATCTCACCTGTTGTGTACCTTGTACTCATGTCTTTTTGAGCCGCCTCCTGTGTGTGTGTGGGAGTGGGTGCAGTACCTATCACTTGACCCAAAGAACGATTTCTCTCTCTGGTTTGCTCCAAGGAGAATCAAAAGAGGACATGTCACAAGTCAAATCGTTTGGGTACAACACATGCGCGGTAAAAATCTGGTCTGTACTCGCCGAAAGGCTCCTGTAACCGTCCGACATTACATATGTTTTACCCAGGCGGCAACCTCTGGTTCTGCCGACTGACGGCAATGAAGAAGTGTCTTAAAACCTGCATTCTCTCTAATGTCCATCAGGGGGCGACTCCTCTGGTTGTATAGAAGTCTATGAGAAAATGGCATGGTATGCTTTAGGGCGGGGCTACCTTGTGACTGACAGGTAGCTGCCGCTACCAGAGACGTATACAGCGTCTGTCGTTCCTCCGCATCCCAAATATGATAACTTCTGTTTATCGGTTGCAAAAAAAAACAATATAGCGATGGCAAAATCGCTGAAACTCGAGGCTTTAAAAGCGGGAGTCCCACAAACCAACGGGTGATGTCACGATGACTATGTCCACTTCTTATCTACAGTCTATGGATCAACTCCACTGATATGACGCGTCACTTCTCCTCTTACTAGTCTTCTTGGTTTTGGTTCTGTGTTTTGGAGTCTACTGCACATGTGCAGAAGTGTCCCTTTCCCTGTGCCCAAATGCCTGTCAGAGACTTCAAAAGGAGATGAGAGTCAAATGTTAAACCCTCATCATCACACAATTCATAATACACATAGAATAATAGGCAGCCTTGGAGGTGTCCCATCAACACTTTGACAGTTAGTCGTATCCGTCTCTCTGAATATAACCGGGCCTCTTTAACAGGGACAGAGTGCTGAAGACGTTCATGTGAACTCAAATAAAAGGCGGATACGTGGCAGCTTCACTCTTCACTCTGCAGCCCTCTTCACTTCCTTGTTTCAGGGGCCTTTTTGCCATCGATCTTCAGCAAGTGAAACATGCTCAGTTGGACTGAGGTCACATGACTCACTTTGCCATCCGAGAACGTCTTTATCCACGAAAGACTCCTTGGTTGCTTACACACACACACACACAGACATGTCTAAGAGGTGACACAGTAAATGTGACAGTATTGAGTGCATTTAAAGCTGCGTTGCATCTATACTCATTTGATTTCTTATAAATTGGAAAAAAAACAAATTGTGCTTATTGTTCTTGAGATGTTTCTGATCAGCTTTTTCAAGATTGGGTCAACAATCACACCTAAATACTTAACATAGATGGCCTGCACTCTGTCCTTAACTCTAATTTCAGGAAGAAATGGACTCATGATAGAGATCAGCACACAAACGCTTTTGGATACATTCAGTGTAAGATGAAAGTAAGTCGACCAGTCTACTGTGGCTGTCATGTGCATGCAGTCGGATAATTAACTCTTAGGAATTCTGTGCTTCAAGCTTAGATTCAATGGGTTAATCCATGAGCACCATTTATACAGTGAATGATTGAAGCTTAAAGCATTTACATAGTGAGACCCATTCAACAAGCACAGAAGGCAGAAGCATGGCAAAATATAAGTATGGAACATTATTGAGATTGAGAACAGTTTTGCAGGTCCAGCCAAAGCTGTAATGTGACTGAAATGAATGAAAGAGATGCTTGATAGTATCGGGCTCTGCAAGGCAAAAACGGCAGCGGAGCCGCCTCAAGTTCAACTCTTTTTAAATGTATTTCTACACATGTAAGTGTTGCGGTTTGTCACCGGTGAGCATCTGAACCCTGAAGTGGTATTACTGTACGGGTTCAATTAAATTACATTTAAAAGGGTTTTATACCAAACTTTTCCCTGATTATATTCAACTTCGAAAGACAGTCATGTCCTGTTGGACGGTCAGCAAATATAACTTGTTTTTTTCTCATTCTAGGGTTGATTGACTTAAGTCTTCCTTTTGATTGTTGTTATTCCACATGGTAGAGCCATATGGGCTACAGTTATGTACATAGTACAACATTTGTGTATGAAATTATGGTAACTTAACAGGTCATTTAACTGGTCATCTTTTTAAAAAAATAAAACCCTCTAATGTTGTTAAATCTGGATTAATTGCTATCACTCGCCACCGACACGTAACGCTCCTCGAGTCCAGCAGGGGGCGGAATGGCGCGGCCGCTTCGTCAGAAGAAGAAGAAGAAGTAGAAGAAGAAGGAAAATGTCAACAGAACGGCGAAGTAAAGCTAGCGGTCCCACGGTGAGGGCACAGAGTTACCTTGCTGTCTGTTGTCAGTGAGCAATTTAACAACCACCCTTACTTGTAACTTATGTCCACCTCGCTATAGGTAAACAGTGACGGCCCATTCCCCCCCACACTGCTAATACTTAGTATGCTAACGTTAGCTGGAGAAGCTAACAGGAGCCATGTTTTGTTGCTGTCATTGAGTAGAAGTCACAGAACGTAAACAAACAAAGCTGAAGCTCTCACCTTCTCACTGTGATTATTTTGCCTTTATTTTTTGATATTTGTTTTTGATGAGCGCATTGTGTATCATACATAGGGATACATGCTACTACTATTAGCCAAGTTAGCCTACACAGCAGCTAAAAACAGAGGAGTCCAAACTGCTTATTATTTGGATATGTAGTGTAGAAGGTGTATTTATCATTGAGGACTAAACAGATACACTCTAAAATTGATTTCCCTTTGTGGTGTAAAGTTGATCATTTTGCCCTGGCTGCCTGAAGTTCTTCATCAAAGTTCCTTTGAATGAATGGATACAGCTGAAAGCTGTACTGTGTAAAATCATGTCCTTTGATAACAGGACTGCTGATTGACTTGCTGCAGAGGCCATGATCTGATGCTCATCTGTTGACTGCTACATCAGCAATGTCTGTCAACTCCCTCCTGAGATACAGCATCAGGTAACAGTGCTTTGACACGTGGTGTGATGGTGTTTGTTGAACTGTAGCTGTGTCATCTTAAGCTATAAGTTCATATCATGATGCTATAGACGAAAGGCCAAGATTAAAGGATTCATCAAGGTCTGTAGCTACGGCTATCTATCTAACGTGTGGTTGAGTGTTGGGCAGACATACTGATTCTTAGATTACATATTGAGTAAATCAGATGACTCAGTGACATTATGTCACCATGTATGTAATTAGATGCACAGTTAAGACGAGTAACCTTATAAAACTACAATACTATATATACATTAGGACCTTTACTGTATACAATATAACGCTGGAAAATTAAAGTGTCGTGTACACAATAGGTCAATAGTAACTACATGTATTAAAACACAAAAAGCATCATTAACGTGAGGATACACGTAAGTTGCAAGAAAAAAAATGTTATGTCAAAATTAGTGCTGGGCAAGTTAACGCATTCATTAATTAACGCCGACAATTATATTATCGCGCGTTAACGCAGTTTTTTATTTATTTATTATTAAGCGACATTTTTAACACAAGAACCAGGCAGCAAGCAGTGAACAGCTGTGTTCGTGTGGCGTCACTTCCTTCTTCCCCCCCTGGGTCCAGAACCCCTCCTACACTCCGTCACCGTCGTTCACTCTTGTCTCACAAACACTCACAAACACACACACACGCACACGCGTGTGTGCGCGCGCGCGATCGTCTCGTTACAGATCAAACGTGACTGTTGTCAATTGGAGCTTCTCGTGAGGACCAAGACATGTCTCGTTTGAACGGAATACTTTACTGTCTGAACTGCAGTATTACAGTGTTACAGTGAACACAACACGCTCTTGCACCTGACATGTGGTTTTCTACTTATCATCAATATTGTTAGCGTCAAGAACACGTACCATTCTACTTCCTGTCTCTTCAAAGTAAAAGCACTTCCGTTTTCATGCTCTTCACAATAAAAGTAAATCATGCAATCAAACAATTTACAACAGTGACAATATTAAAATACATATTGTCGAGTTTTTAAAGTGTTTTGTTTGTAATATGTATAATAAGCATATCATTTAGTTATCACTACTGAGAATTTAACAAAAAAAGAAGTTGATAGGTTTGCAGTTTTCAAGGTGTATATTTCAAATTGCATCTATTACACACATGAAGATAAAGTTATGTACACCGGCTGAATATCTATTATCAGAATCATTATAACTGTATTTTAACTGCTACTGTGTAAAGGGAATACTGCTGTTAAAAAGCACCTTATTTGTTTAAAGTGTTTACAAACCAAATGTTATTGCCCTTTTGTTCATATAGCAGTACTTTCAAAATAAAAGTGAGCAATACACTACTTTTGAATTCATTATTGAATTTTGCCATAACAATGCGATTAATCATTATTCAATTAATTAAATATTTTAATCGTTGCCCAGCACTAATTTTTACACATTAAAATATTAAACATGACCGTAGTACAACTTAGAATTTTCAACAACGATTTACAAGCATGACATAATTAAAACACACATTCAATTAAATTTTTTTTATTTTTGCAAAAATTTGCCTCAGAGGGTTTTACAATCTGTACACACACGACATCCTCTGTCCCAGAACCCTCGCATCGAAACAGGAAAAACTCCCCCTAAAACCCCTTTAACGGGTAGAAAAGAGGAAGAAACCTGTGGGAAAGCAACAGAGGAGGGATCCCTCTCCCAGGATGGACAGAAGTGCAATGATGTCGTGTGTACAGAATGAACCCTAGGGGCGTGGGGTGGGGGGGTGGGGGTCAAGGGGCGTGGGGGTGGGGTTATTTACTGCAAGGGTACTTCTACTTTTGGTACTTTAAGTATAGATCTTGCTGATTTTACCATACTTGACTTAGGTTTTGAATGCAGGACTTTCACTCGTCGTGGATTGTTTCATCAGTATGGTTTTTGCAGTTTTACTGCAGTGAAGGATCTGAATACTTTTTCATCCACTAATTACTTGTAAGTGAGTTTGGTTAAGAACCACTGTTTGTATATTAACTGTTTATTTGTATATTAATCTGTAGCAGTAAGATTTCATTCATTCTAGGGTCAGTTCATGCACTACATCCTCATTTTAAAGCTGATATTTATAAAATGTTGATCCCGGACTTCCCCGAGGGGGGTTCGGATTTTTGTCACCTTCTTTCACCCCTGATGAGTTTCCATCCCTGAAAACATTGAGCATCAGGGAATAGAATCGGATGAAGGGTAAAGAGTAAACAGTTGGTTGAAAAGCCAGCGCTAGATTGATCAACAGTCAACATAATCATTAGTTAGAGAACTACTTAGACATTAAATGTGACAATACCACCACCGATGACAGTTCATTTCCATATTTTCTTTCCCTCTGCAGGCTGAAGAGGAAACATGTGTCACATTTAGTCCATCAGAGAGCTCTGTCAGGGGCCGATGCTGTCAACGCACTCAGACCCTTTTATTTTGCAGTCCATCCGGACTTCTTCGGCCAATATCCCAGAGAAAGGGTAGGTCTCTCATGTATCATGAATTGTTTAGAATCCAAATAGATATACTGTAAAGTGATTGAACTATCGGTAGACTGACGTGAGGCGTTCCAAGGTGTTCAGATTGTCAGTAGTCTTCGTGTTTGTAGCAACAGGACCAAACCAACACAGGCCATGTTCAGACCTTGCATCACGTGTGTCTCTGGTGAACCGCTTTACGTAGAGGTGTGAATGCACCCAAAAGGCATTGAGATCCGATCACTCAGACCACATTCTGAGGTGGTCAGGGCCGCATGTGGCCACGTCCTTTTAGCTGCGTGTACGCAAATGTGTCACCGGGCGACATGGAAGGGGCACGGGGTCTCACTGCGCCGCCTCGTGACGCATTACCTATGTGCACTCCCGCATCCCTGTCGGTACAACCGTATTTTTTTTGTTTATAGTCACAGATCTGTCGTCGGGTGGCCGCCATTAACACAACAACCTTGTTTTTTTAGGTTTATAAAATGTACCTGAATTCTTGATTGTAATGTTGCGTCACAAAGTCTGCTGTATGTAGCCATGTGTTTACTACGTGTTTATCAGCATATAGAGCGGGGAAGTGTGATCCGATCACAAGTGGTCACCTGCAGTCTAATGCCAGGTGTGTACTGATGTAGCGGTCTCCTTGTGATCGGATCACCCAAGACGCATGTTAACAGGGACAGCAGTCTGTCAGACCACAGGACTAATTATCACCATGCAGAGAGGAGGCTTCAGCAGACTGTGTGACATTCAATGTTGTGTTTCACAGGAAGTGAATGAGAATTCATTAAAGAGGCTGAATGGCTATCTGGACAACCTGCAGAAGCCCGGCTCCCGCTCAGTTCAGCCAATGAAGCTCACTTTTTACGTCCGGGACATGAAGGACAGCAGCGACGTGCAGCCGGACCTCCTAGCCTCGGGTACAGTTTCCCCTTAAACACAGCTCATGATATTCCCAAGTTCCGTCTTTACAAATCTAACAAAGCTCCCGCCTGGTTTCGCAGGGTTCCGGTCAGTGAGTTTCACCCTGCACACAAACGACGTGTTGAGCACGGTGACCAACGTGTTGAAGTCCTGCAGCCTCCCCGTGGAGCACATGAAGGGGCCGAAGGCAAGTGCGGAGACATCTAAGAGTCCGCCTGGGGCCGGGCTGCCTTTCTACAGACCCATCAAGTGGGACAAGAGCTACTACACCTTCACTGGATTCAGAGACCCCGAGGAGGAGCTGCAGCAGGCCAAGAGAGTGGACCCTGCACTCATGTAAGTAACACTGGACCTCAGCTCTGCAGCTCAACTCACATGCATGCAGTACACAGCGCAGAGCTGTTGTTTCTTACATTTCTGTCCGTCTGTAGAGTCAACTTTACAGCACGCTTGTATGAACTTTGGACTGTTTCCCGCTGCTTCCAGTCTTCATGCTAAGCTAGGCTAACCGTTCTGTAGCCAACACGCACAGACGTGAGACTGATATCCATCTTCAAAAATAGTAAAGTTATGGGCTGTATAACCAAAACAACGGGCTGAAAGACCCTTGAAACAGCTGAGGTGAACTACACAGCAGGTCATTCTATGTGGGTTTGTCACCATTAAATATTTAGATTTTTAGTAGTTTTATAGAATTCCAAGACTGATCTCATGTTGCCTTTTCTTTCTCAGCTTGTGGCTGAGAAACAACGAGCCCGAGGCGACAAAGAAGCACAGCGCTAGTCTTCCTCGGAGGGCAGAGCTGAACAGGCTGAAGGAGGAGCTGTGTCACAAGTTTGATCTGTCCGATATCAGGTACTGTTGGCCCCTAACTCTTACTGAGGGCTGTGGGAGCTGCTAGCGAAACTGTTGTCAACTTGAACGTGTCTACTCGCCCAATGTCAGCTGGGATTGGCATTATAAAACATGACGAGAGTCATTCTGAGGGTTCATTCGTAAACCTCAATAGAATCTTTGAATGTACGGTAAGAGCCGTAAGAACTGCTTCTGTCAGCCCAGTCTGGATTAGGGAGTAAGCTTTCCTCTGTGAGTCACTGCAGAGCATGATTTAAATGAGAGACCAGTAAAGGCTCTTATGGGGACTGTTGCGCTTTAATTCAAGCCCGTACGTGAACTCGTCACAATCATTGTGCATGTTACCACGACGGTGACATCAGTTGTGTGGTGCAGGTGGCAGCGCAGCTGGGGAGTGTCCCACAGGTGCTGTCAGCTGCAGAGTCTGAGCCGACTGTCCCAGCAGAACCCCGAGGCCCTGATCAACCTGCAAGGTAAGGAGCCTCGCTGATAATGAGACCCACGATGATTTTCATCCATAATGAGGTCACGATTATTCATTTGTGTCCCAGGACACACTGTTGTGTTTGCTGACCAGTCCGGGATGAACGCCTCTGGACACATCATGCTGGGAACCATGGACGTCCATCACCAGTGGACCAAAGTAAAGCCGCCGCAGTGCGTCTGCCTCCGAGTGTTCTCTGTGTTTCCTCTTTGCTTTCTCTGAGCCGTCCTCTCCCTGTGTGTGTCTCCAGCTCTTCGAGCAGCTGCCCGGCTATTGCAGCCTGCAGCAGCAGACGGACTGGCTGAAGGAGAGGATCAGCCTTCTCCTGGGCGGGACTCAGGTGGTCCACGTGGAGAGGCTGAGACCGGTCCAGTCCATCGCCGAGCACTACGGCACCCTCAGCACCTTCCACAAGAGCCTGATGTCCCGACGCCTTCGCCTGCACCCCAGGAGCCTGCAGGGGCTCACCATGTTGTTGGAGAAGTACGCCGTCCCATAACCTCCCTAGCGCCTCAACCACACGACGCGCTGCTGTGTATTTTTATTAAGTAGGGCAGCATTAAGATGCACCGATTGATCGGCAGCCGAGTAGAAACACACGTTTTTCAGCTGATCGGCCGATGAGTCTCTTATTTCCTATTAGGATAGTGTTACTGAGCTCACACACACAGACAACATGCTGTCTCTCCCTAGCACAGTTCTGATTAGAACCGAGCTAACGGCTAACGTTACCAGGTTATACTCAATTGCGTGAGAAACTTGAATGTTTTCACAGCAACATAAATACATATTAGGTAATTAGGACCTATTTAACTTCCAAATACTTTTAATCAAACACACATTTAAATATAGATACAATTATTTATTTCCTAATCTTTTGGAACTGTGTGTTTTCATATAACCACTGTAGATGACAATAAGAAAGCATAACATTTAGAAGTGTTGATGGTTTACACCGACTATGGGGACGGGCATTGGAAATTAGCAGGAGCAAAACATGCTGCGATACACTATTGGATAAGAGTTGTGCAATTCTCTATGTATTTGTCCCTTAAACTGAACTTATTGTCATAAAAGAGTTAGTCTGCAGCCTTGCTGTCGGTTACAGTTCTTCAGAATGGGACAAAATCAGAATCGTCAGGTCAGATCGGGAATTGTAATCACCGCTTCGTTAACTGTCGTTTGTGTCCTTCACAGTGACCGCTCCAACCCCAGCCTTCATGAGATGGGGCACTTCATTATCCCCACCAACGCTGACCCCCCCAAGCTGCAGGTCTTCCTCCAGAGCCACGCCCCCGAGGCCCGACAGCGCACCCAACACAAAAACCAGTGAGTCGAACCCTGAGTCACTGAAACTGAACTTCAATAAATTAAATGAAAAGAGTGTCTGTCTGTCTGTCTGTCTGTCTGTCTGTGTCTCTCTCTCTCTCTCTCTCTCTCTCTCTCTCTCTCTCTCTCTCTCTCCAGGCTGCAGGCAGAGGAGGAGGCTGTGGTGAAGCTGTGTCTCCAGAATCTGTCTCTGAGGAGTCTGTCCAAGGAGCCCAGTGTGAGCTCCAGCCAGATGATCCTGTGCTGCAGAAGGCTGGTGGAGCAGCGCTCCCCCCTCATGCAGGGCCTCCACATCTGTGTTTCTCACTTCTACTCAGTCATGCAGGACGGGGACCTGTGTGTCCCCTGGGACTGGAAGAGCTGAGCTGGAGGGACACGGTCAGTCCAGCTGTTGGAAAGAATCTTTTTTCTTTTCTTTTTTTTTTTAGCAATTTAATGTTGTTCAGACAACGTTTAACAGGATGTTGTTTTAGATGTCAGGTGGTCACCCCAGATTTCATGTTCAGTGGGTAACTCAAGCTGACAGTCAAGAAGCACTTTATCCACTTTATTACCGGAGAAGCCAAATAGGAGAATTTGATTGACAGCTAAGGTCAGTGGTTCCCAACCCAGGGGGTGCGGACCCTTCAGGGGACGCAAAATGATTGACAAGAGAGGAAGAAGAAGAAGAAAAAAAATCCATGCTTCAGGAATCAAAATTAAAAGTCTGAGAACCAAATATTGTTTGGTTGAATTGTGATAAGTGTGTGTGTGTGGGGGGGGGAGGGGCCTTTAATCCAGAAAGGTTGGGTAACACTGGCAGAGGTGCAATATCACTGAAGCTTTATTTAAGACCAGGGTTGAGGCCTTAACATGCACGGTTTGACAAAGTGAGTATAGTTCTGTTGTTGTGTGGAGTGCACCAAGAAAGGGTTAGACGATGGTTCTATAAGTGTGTTGGAACTCACTCTGGTTGACGGACCCACTTGAGCAGGTGAGCGAAGCTGAGTGAAAGTAAACAATCCTGAAATTCCCGACACGTTTTTTTAATCTAACGAAATATTCTGCTTCAAATCTGCATTTCACTGCGGCAATGTGACAATGAATATGTGAATATGCAACATAACGGCACGCCTCCACGCCGTCTGTCCTGAAAGACATTCGCTGGGTTGCACTCGCCAGTTCACGTGAGAATGTGATCAAAGTATTAGTGCGACGAATGAAAACAACAACAACTTGTGAGAGGAGTTCACACCCAGCTTGCTTTCACACCTGACCAATCACAGCGTGAGGTGCGTGTTAGTTGTCAGAGTTTCTGTTTCAGAAAGTACAGACGTTGGAGTTCTGACACTGATGCCCGTAAATAATCAATATTGCTACTATTGTAGTATGAAATGCTGATTTAAATTCGAAAATCCAACTGTATTTATATACATGTGAATGTAACTGTAATTTATGTGATGATAAAACAGAACAGGAGGACTCGTTGCTTAGCCAGACAATCCAGGAACATTAACAAAGACCTTCTACAAAGACCTTGTTACGTTACGTTGTGTGCATAGAGGGGAAAGGACTAACTGTGTGATGCAGCGTGTGGACTAAGATGTGCGATGGTGGGACACTTCACCGGATGGAGATGTTTTGGACATTTCAGATGCTGCTGTGCAGTTTTGAGTCCTGAGTTCTCGTATCACTCGAAGCTCTGTACACACTGGGAGGCGGGTTTGGACCTTGTAACGGTACCACAGCTGTGAAACAGCAATGTTCCTCTCAAATAAAAGTGCTCACATCAGACTTGACTGTTTATTGTGACACCTATTGTGTGTGAGAAAGACCTGGACTGCGGACGGACGGGGAGTTGGACGCGGCGGCTGGAGCACGTTGATTGTACGGCGGATTTCTCTGGAGTGGGCGGTCACCTTTAAATCCCCAATAAACCCAGCCCCCATCCAAGAAGGGTGTGGGAGCGGTTTAGGAAGGGACCAAGTCCACAATGGGCCAGCTCACTCCTGCTTGGGGTGGGGGCGACCCAAAGCTTGAATCCATAGCAGTCGCAAGAAACACAAATCACAATAGTTTTGAAACCATGGAGTCCATCCTGCTTCACTGCCTGTGGCCCAGTGTGGATGTGCTGCCAGCACTAGTGATACTAGTATCGGTCATGTATGTTTACTTTCCCCCATTCTTTCCCTGAGCTCGCCCCCTCCCTTTCTCTCTCTCTCGCCTCCACCTCACTCCACCTATTTATGTGCTTCTTTGCAGTGAGGAACACAGACATACATTACATGATGCTCCTGTTTCTGACATTGTCAGCTGCTTCAATACTGTAACCGTTATATTTGTAAGCAGAGTTTTTTTATTTTAGGAGGCAGAAATAATCGCATATATTTAAAATCAGTGATTGTGAGATTTGTGGATCTATTTTGATAGTTTCTAAAGTAACTTACAAACCCACCGAGGTCTGCGCTGTCGTATACGATAGCAAAGGAATTCTGATTTATATTTTTAGCACATCTCTGGAGTGTCATCACGCTGACTAGTGCGCCTAGTTGTGTACACGCACTCATGCTACCGTTGTGTAGTTAGTTTATAGCCTAACAATATGATAAGCCTTAAAAAAATTAAATAAAGAATGCTGTAATATTGTAAAACAATCATTAAAAACTCGTAGTATAGTTTATCAAATAAAATCTAAAAATTGTCCTAGTGTAGTATGTTCACAAAAGTTGTGAAAAAGCCATGATTTAGTATGTCTACATTTTTTTTTTTGCATAGTATAGTATGTCGAATAAAGTTAAACGTAAATAATCCATACAATACTATGTAGCAGAAAACGTCCTAGTGGAGTCTGCTATAAAAAGTCATCAAAAACCTAAAGTAAATAATACAGTAGAATATGGTGAGTATGGAGTGTAATACATAATCATAAAGTATTGTAAGCTGTGCACTCAGGTCGTACTGAACACTCCATACAGTTATTGTTTTTACACATTTTCTTTGGCTTCTGCAACAAAACGTTTTTGATCCGTTTGTTTTGTTCCTGATCACCAGAACACATTTTGTTCACTATTCTGTTATGTGGGATTTTAATACATATCTTTTTTTTTTAAACATTGTTTTTCTTTTGTATTTATGATATAACCATGTTGACATTGATGTGACATCACTGTAGCATACTATTCTAATAGCCCAGATTTTACTGCTTGTTTTTAGAGCCGTGTCAGGCTGCTGCCTCCACCTGTGATCTGTTGAGATCCTCTAATGGTTCTAGAGTCTAAAGAGACACTAAAGGTTTTGCTGCTCGGGCTCTCAGCTTTGGAACTCCAGCATCCTGTCTTTTAAAAACGCACTAATCTTATGACTTTTCCTTAACTCTTGGCATTACTTTTAACTTTAAATGATTTCATCTGGTTTTATATTTTATGTCTGATTTTATTTACTTTTATTAGTTGTTTTGTATTATAAAAACACTTAAATTAGTTTTTAACACTGCTATATAATTAGTTATTTTTATTATACAAGAAGCTCGGTACTTACATTTACAGTAAGTCCACAGTGAACAACTAAAGAAAGAGTCACACATGGCATACAGTAAATAAAATTTATTTTCCTTGTTCAGACAACACACAGATTCCTCATTCAAATGGAAATAAACAGTCAGCTGGTCTCAGTCCACGTTACCGCTGCAGCTGAATTTACTCCCATCGGTCAGCAGCCACACCAGCATTTCAAAGGCTCCTGATGCTGAGGGGAAGCAGCTTCATAAATACCAAGGCTCGTCAGGGGGGGGGGGGGAGTGGGTTGTGTGTGCAGTGGAGTGACGTGAGGGGGGGGGTAGTCAGAGGTGGCTCTGGGGGCTCATTTACGCTGAACTTGTGTGAAGGGAGAGGGCAGCTGGATGGGCTGGACGGACTGGAAGGTCTGGACGGGCTTCTTGCGGGACTCTGGGGAGACCCTCTGGACCGCCGTGGGCAGCAGCTGGTTCCGTTTGATGATCTGCAGGGCCAGCTGGGTGTTGCCTGAGGACGCATGACACAGATACGGGGGTTAGCTCCCGATTCCTCACATACTAAACAAAGAAAATACTGGTAATAACCCATATCAGTATGACCAGCACAAGTGTTTGGAGAGCCGACAGCTCGGAGCAGTTTGAAATCTGTGATAGCAACGTCGTTATGATGCCGGACGTTCGGTGCTTTACTTCACCTCATTAAAGAAGCAGAGTTTACAAAAAGAGGGTTTAAATAAAAAGCTATCGGAGTCAAAGAACAAGGAAACAACTTCCTGTCCATGACAATGTGTTTATGCTCCATATGCAGCTGCAACAAGTTCTTATTATTATTTTATTAACTTTGTGTTAATGTGTAATTACTACAATATCTAAGACCGTTCAGACAGCGTGCACACAGTAATAATGTAAAAGCAGCAGCATTCATTCATGCTGTTAGGACGACTGCTGGTCTCATGATTGTTGTATTTTTATACCCTTTACTCCGCACTATGAAAGGAAACTCCTCAACAACTTAAGATGAGCTCTAAGGACGCTGTGTCAGCAGCCACGCTTCCATTTGATTGTCAAGAGAGTTTGAAATGCAGCAAAAAAAAGAAATGCGAGTTAAGTACGTTCCATCAACTAGTGCGGAGCCAATGAATTCAGCAAAAGCGTAGTGTGGTCAGAAGTTGGCGCTAAAGGCTCTAATCTACCATTGAAGAAGAAGAAGAGGTTGTGAACTAAACATCTAACCGTCTACGATAGAAACATGGAGGTCTTCAGGGATTTGTTTCAGTTGGGCAAGTTTGCATTGTTCTCTCATACCGGCTAGTGTTGTATAGAGAAACATAAGCACAATATGGGGATATTCAAGAAGACGGCGACAGCAGAAACGGCTGATGCGAGTTAAATGTTCACACTGGCACAATTTATTCGGCAAAACAAAAAAACATCACGCGAGCATAAAAACGTTTTTTTGCGATTGAGGACGTTTTATCGTGTTGTTGCTTCTCCACACAGCTCGTCTAATGAGAAACTTCTAAATGTGGCGTGACGATACGTAAACCCGGCTCGTGTGTGTCAGAGGGCTGACCGTTCTGTAGCTCTAAGTAGACTCCCAGCAGGATGGCTTCAGGCGGGATCTCCTTGGTGTTCACCATAGACGCAGCCTGAGGAACACAACACAAGTCACCACCGACTCACTTCACTGACGTGGTTTCAACAACAGAGATCGTTTAGTGGAACTGCGTTTCCAAAAGAAGGTGAAGACAAGATGTTGAAGAGAAGCTTTGTATTTGATGGACTTGAATGGGACCTGCTGTAGTCATGGTTACCTGTTGCAGACACTTGCGGGCCTTCTCGTACTCGCTCCTCAGACAGTAGGCGCTGCCCAGGTTGAAGAGCATCATGGCCCGAGCTGCTGTCACACTGCTGGGGTAACACAAAGGAGTCTGCTTCCCTGCTGCAAACACACACGCACCCACACACACAGCTGTTATTGTCGTATCCTTCATACCTATACTTGTGTAGTGTTGTACCGAATCGTTACACACTACAGTACGTTGATGTTTGAATGCTGCACATTTTTTCTTCTTCTATTTAAACAAGGTATTACTGCGCAGTTGCAGATAAAGATCGGGCGTCACTAATATTATTGGTTTAAATATTTATTGGGACTAAGAACACAGCGGTGACTGTAGGACTGTTTCAGACTCATGTGACAGTCACAGTGTATTGTAAGAGGATTGGTGTAATGTGGCATTTGATGGCATTTTGCCTTTCAAAAAAACACTTTTTCGTAAACTTTCTGCACGCAAATGGAGGTACTGACTAGTTATTTATTAAATAAAGTTGATTTAGTAAAAATAAAACATTTGATCTGATGATTTACTTTATTCAAAATAAGGACTGTAAGGGTGTTGACATCATAAAATATGACAAGACATAAAGCTTCATTCAGAAACCTCGATAGAAGCTTCAAATGCAAAAATGAAAACGTCATTGGAGCAGAGCTCTCCATTAACGTTTGTCACAATCATCCCGGAACCGTCACCAAACGAATGTGGACCCAATAAATAAAAGATCAAAAGTGATTTGTTTACTTGTATTCATACATTTATTATTAATTCAAAATCTATTTTAAAAAGTCAATTTATTGGTTTGTTATTCAGAATTTGCATATTTGATTAGATCGTGACTTTGACAATGCAGCTCAGTTAAATTAAAATAGTTTAGTTATGTGTAATAAGTAGCGTTTCCCCATGAAGCTAGAACCGGCCCTGCTGGCAGGATATTAATATTAGCACGCCTGGCTGGGATGCATCATCTAACTTTAATATCCATTATTATTGTTTAAATATCCTATAGATGAGATTTGAAATGGTGAATAAAGGTTTACGGTGGACTCACAGGACTCGACAGACTCGTCTCCTTTCTCAGACCCTGCTGACAAAAACAAACCCGAGTGTTAAAGAAAAAGAGGAGAAAATCGGACATTTCGTTACGTAATGTGCAACACAAACAGACCTTGGTCTTGCTCGCTGGTCAGCACCCCCATTGACACGTCGCTGACGTTCTCCGGGTTGAGGTGAGCGATGGCGTCAGAGATCCTGTCCAATGAGATGAGGGCTTCAGCAGCGTAGAGGTGACCCAGGAACCTGAACAAACCAGACAGCCGAGTGACTCACAGTGGAGCGGGACACTGCAGACAGAAACAGAGCCGGGTGAACCGACAGCATGGCTCTGAGAAACGGACCCAGCACTTACTTGAGGGATCCCGACACCTTGGTTTGATGGAGCAGTTTCTCAGCGTGGTTTAGAGCCATCAGGTTGTCTCCCAGCGCTAACGCCACGTAGGCACTACACGCCAGGATGGAGCACCTAGGCATCAAACAGTTAACCCATTACTGTACAGCCCTCTGGGTGCTACGGGTTAGTCAAGGCTCCTGGATAACGTCTTGGTGCGTGAGAAGCGTCATTACCTGAGGTTTTCTACTTCCTGTTTTCTGAGAGGAGACGATGGAGCAGCAGACAGGAACTTATCAGCATCCTGACCTTTCCCACTGCAAGACATCACCACAACACACACATCATTGAGAGAAAACTGCTTTTTACTTTAAAAGAAGAAAAAAGCCTTTTTTCCATATGTTGTCCCCAAAATGAGAAACAGAGCACTACATTCCTGCCAATTAACAAATCTTGGCATCAAAATAAGGTTCTTCTGCACCTGCATTGTTGTTGTGTTTGTGTATTACTCTTCTACGCTCGACTTTGGCCCAACATTCAGTAACGTTTATCAGAGGCTGCTGCCCAGCAACATGGCAGCTCCCCAAAAGTGAAGCCAAAACATCTGGATGCCCCCTGGTGGCAGTCTGTTAGTTTAAGAAGTTCTTGATTGGATATGCAGCAGAGCATTTCTTTATGTCCATTTTAAATGGTGGAAAGCCCAAATTGTGATTGCAATTAATATTTGATTAGGTGTTGAGCCTCGACCCATAGGAAGTCAGAAAGGTTATAGATTATCTAGACATCATTACATCCGGTGCTCGCCAACTCTTTTTCCTGAAGCACAGCAACCCAGAGGGAAACAATGAACCGGGACGAACACAGCATCTGTTACAACAATAAGCAACATGAAAACGTGACCAACGTAAGATTCTGTTTGTTTACAAACGGAGATAGAGTGTCTCTCTGACCTGCAGGCGTCGCTGTTCTCGCTGCCGCTCTCGGTGCTCCCCGACTGACTGGAGCTCTTGGAGCCGTTGTCTGTCTTGGTGTCCTGCTGCTGGTGCTCAGGGAGGAGCAGCAGAGCGTTCCTCAGGCAGATGGCTGCAAACTCCATACTGGCTACTGGGATCGCTGCCGACTGGCCCTCACTGTGCGCACACACACACAGCTTGGGCTTAACCCTAACCCATTCACTATGAAGCTAGAGCTGGATGTCAACTAGCCTAGCTTAGCATAAAGACTGGAAGGAAAGGGCAACAGCTACTGTAATCTGGTTTAAGATAAATTAAAAAAAGTACTGTAGGTGTGTTTTTGATCTTGAGCAGCAGCCATTTCCCCTTGCTTCCAGTCTTTATGCTAAGCTAGGCTAGGCTAACTGACACCCAGCTCTATCCTCAGTTAATGCACAGACTTAACATTGATCTTCTCACTGTTGGCAAGAAAGCAAATGTTGAAGTAATCCTTTAAAAAGGAGAAAACCAGGATTAACAGCAGCCATTACATTAGTTACAGCGTCAACAACTAATAACGCAGCACTGATGCCCTCTGCTGGACAAAGAATGTAAACGTCTGAATCAGTCATCTCACTTGTGTACTTCAGGACAAAGGATGGACGAGTTGAAACTGACCTGTAGATAGTGTTCTGGGTGGACTGGGACGCCAGCACGATCTTGCGATGGTAGCCCTGCCCGACGATAGACTGAACTATTCCTTTTTTACATGGTAGACCTTTGCTCTCCTGCTCCGACCCCTGGAAACAAACACACAGACCATGCAATGACCTCATCTGGTTTTCTGTTCACCCTTATAAAGCTTGACTGGAAAGGATCATGAATTAAAAAGGTTATTTGGAAATGCATGTTTAAATTCACTTTGCAACTGGTGTTGAAATCCTCACAGAAGAAAAACTGAATAATTACTGTGACAAAACCATTATTATACGATATTACACTGCTAATGTAAGGGACAGAACATGTCTTTTTGGTTCTTTGATACATAACATAATTCACGTAACAACAAGTAATTGTTAAAATAAACTAAAGTTACCGAAAAGACACTACAACATGGAAACAAAGCTAAACTGAAGTCAGGATCAAGTCATACCCCTTTGTTAGCAGAGATGCAGCACTCGGCCAGTCGCAGCCACAGTCTGGGGTTGGAGTGGTACACCTGCACGGCCTCCATCAGACACTCGAACGCTGCCAGAGGCCTGCCGATGTGCAGCAGCTGAATACCACAGTTATACAGCAGCTCGTAGCGCTTGTTGGCTAGTAGAGCACACATGGGGATGCCTGTGAACTTCTTAGCTGGAGAACCAAGACGACACAGGAAGAAGGGACTTGTTACATATAACAATACGTTTTCCCGACTGCCGTAGTGCTAATTGAAGCGATGTATGAATATATAATATATATTTTTCTTATTTCAAACATTGCTGTATGAAGCACGATGTTCCTTTGGGATGACAGGCTGTAGTCAGTTTGGTTTCAATGGTGACCAGATAGAACATCATTTTATTTAGACAGATTTTAAAGAGATTTCCCACCAAAAACAATCCAGCTGGAATCCATTGTTGAATGGACGGCTGTGACTCACATTGCCCGCTGCTGCCGTCTCCCAGCTGTGCGCAGGTGTGGTCGTTCTCTTGCAGCGCCTTCTTGAAGTAGAAAATGCCGAGGTTGTGTTTCCCCATCGCAAAGTGAATGCAGCCCAGGTTGTTCCAGAACATACACCGAACGCATTCGCCTGAATGAGACAAGTCGGAACACAAGCACACATTTTAGAAAAATCATCAAACGCGGTTACATCTCTCTTAAAGGCAACGTTTTGAAGCAGCATTCAGCCAACAATGACTGTGTGGCTTATCAGAGCCACACAGCTTGTGTCATCGGTCTTGAGAGTAACAGTGGTTTGTCACCCGTCTTGATGGGTCCGGGATGCTCTGCGATGTTGGAGCTGTTCAACAGCTTCACCGCTTTCCGGTAGTTTCCTCTCAGGTACTCAAAATTGCTCTTGAGGAAGAGCGAGGGCGCGGACTGAGGGAGGAGACAGGAAACACGGGTCAGAGAGAGACGGACACACTTCTACCATTAATCCTCCTCAGAAACACATCGGCCTCCAGTCAATGCAGGAGTTGTGTTGGACGAGTGACGTGGAGGTTCACCTTTACACCGAGTTCAGCGCGGTGAGTGTCACTACGGCTGATGCAGAGCGCCTGCTCTCTCCATTGAAAGGCAGCTTTACAAAGCATCGCTCCACTGGCTATTCTTGTGTTCATTCCTATGTGGTCTAAATAAAGTTATTTCTGAATCTGTGCAGTCAATATCAAAACTAAATGTTTGTTTAATGTGAATGCATGGCGGCAGACAGTGACTGAGTCGACATGTTATGTGCCACTCAGGAGGGAGGGACTAGGGACATATCAAAACCGTTTTCTGAATTCTGTGTTTTAAGATTTCAGCACATTTTGTGTCTAATCATGTGGATTGATGTTTGAAATTTCAAAAAAAATCAATAAGAAAATGTTCTAAATGTATTGAATATCACTGAATTCAATGTATTACAACATTCTCCTGACTCAAAGTAGTCCGCAGCTCCTTTAAAAGTAGACTAGACCCCCCCCAATCCCTGTTAAACCAATGTGATGACGCGGCACCAACACCGAGACTCACGTTCCCCGCTGTGTTCATCACCGATTTGATCTCCCTCTTGCAGGCCTTGGAGGATTTCATCTGAATGTAGGCTCTCACTTTGTACTGTAAAGGAAACGAGAGTCCGTCACAGTCACACGGTGAAGTGTGAAACAGAGGAAGCGTGGATGTTTAGGTCAAGGAGCTCTTGCCTGGTGCATCTTTGACTTGGCTGCCTCGATCATGGTTGTGAACTCCGCCCTCTGGTTTGAACTGTTGCTCTGGAATCAAGCGCAGCACGCAAACAGTAAACGGCGTTTTACACCTTCAGTGGCCTCGCACACAGTTTCATTACCAGACGGAATTCTTCCCAGCTGGAGCCATTCAAGTAGCACAGCCCCGATATTTAGCTTGTTAAGTTAGATTACGGAATAAAACACTTAAGTGTGGTCCGACAACAGTTTACTTCTTTACACCACAATATGCGCGTAAATGCAGGTTTTGTAAACGTGCTAAAATAAGTTTGAATTATTGTCCAAATCCCTGTTGATTTCATTTAGAATACATTCACTTTGACACGCGTCTCATAGCATCGCACTGAGGCTGATAAATACCGGCGACTACCGAGTCATTTCCCCCGGGAATTATTGCAGATTGTAACCGTTTCCACTAAAAACAAAAGCCAGATGTTAGTGGGTGTCAGTGACTGTTTTTTGTCCAGCGGGAAAGAGGCTTTGAATGAATAATAATGTATAGCGATGATTCGTAATGTTCTTTTCATAGTGTGGTGGCGTACCTCTCCCTTGCCGTTCTTGTTGCTTCCTTGTGTGGAGAGTTTGTCCAGCACGGCCAGCAGATGGAGGGCCTTCTCTGGCTGGAAGGTGAGCAGGTACAGATCCACCAGCAGGAAGCACACGGCCTGAGCAAACTTCTCTTCTAGGACAAATAACACAATGACTCGGTGCCAAACTGCTGACAGACCCATGATGACAAATGATGAAAGCAGCACTGGACAACTGTCTGCTGATCAGCCAATCACCTAAATAAAACCCACGTAAAGCACCACAACATACCAAACGGTTCCAGAAACTGGTAGAGCCTCTCTGCTATGGCGATGGCTTCAGAGTACTGCCTCATGTGGTAGTAGATGATGGCTTGATTATAGTACAGCAGGCTGTTTTCAACGTCGTCCAACCCGTCGGTGTCCTCTGCCGACGTGTGAACCTGAGAGACGGACGACAGGAACGTCTGATGAAACCCGCGACACCGCGAAGAAGCAGAGCGCCGCCTGTCTGGGACGTCATTCAGCGGCAACGTCAAAGCACGAGAAAAATGCGACCCACGTTTAAGCAGTTACCTGGTTCTTCATTGCCATGAGGGTCTGCTTCAGAGTCCCCGTGGTGGATTGACTGCTCTTGTAAAACTCCACGACAGCTTTGTTCAGGGCGATCTTGTAGTCCTCTTTGTTCAGCTCCTGCATGGCGTCCAGCTGTTTCAGAGACTCGTCGTACTTCCCGCTCTGTGAGGAACACAGGAGGCGCCATTACACCAAACGTGCAATCTGGAATTTGTTCTCACATTTATTTTTTGAGTCGCGCTCATCAAATCTATCCAGGATTTGTGCAACTGATGACATGTTTCGCTGTCACCACCAGCAATCTACATCTCAGTGCTTGCAGTTCACTTTGATGAAACGGGCCCCAGGTCAGTGAAGACAGCATGGACACATTGGTGTGACCTGAGTGTTTATGTGCCATGGTGTATTCTCAAATAAACCTGTGAGTTGATCTATGTTCGCCCAACATCGTGTTCGCCTCGGACACAATAATAATGTGTGTGTGTGTGTGTGTGTGTGTGTGAGAGACAAGATGAGTCACAAACACTACATGTTGACTGCAATGAAGGAATATGTCAGGTTTGTTGCTGTATTTTCTTTAGGAATTTAAAGTGATGAGTGTGGTGATATTCTATTCCATTTCATCTCATGAAAAGATTTAAACCAATAATGTGTCTCTACTCTCTGATTTCTCTTTCTGTCTGTGGCTCTCAGCTCCAAGCTTTCTACTGATCTTTAAAACCACCTAACAAATATATAGTTTCATTTGTATATTGGGCGTCTCTTTTGGGGACTATTTTCGGTGGATTGATACACATTTGCTGATCTGGAGGGTGTTTTGGGAAGCATGGATTAAATTTTGTTCCGTCATCAAGTTTAATGGTTTGTCACATTCATTTTTAGCTGGCGAAAAAACGAAACCATTAAAACCATTAACATATGCCCTCATTAGGATCAGCTCGGGTCTACTTTTGATTGACCAATTACACTGAATTTCCCATCACAATTCAAAAAAACAGTAAGCTTATTTACAAGGTGTATATCATTACCATGAAGGCAAAAACAGTGAGACATTTATAAAATGGAGACTGGTGTGACCCTCGCTCCATAAATCTTCACCTCTGCTTATTGCTCAACTGTGTTTCTGCAAGTGTTGCATCTACAGCAGGGGAGCCGAGAATAAGCGTCAACACTGGGCCTAGCAGTTTCATTTATTCAATTTTAGAAAGTTCTGATTTTCTTTCTGAGCATGTTCGGAGGAGGCGGTTTACCGAAAACGCTTCATAAGCCCTGGTTGCCATTTCCTTCTCTTGATCTGCCACTCCAGGGGATGATGAGTTGTCGTGCTTCACCTCGTTTTGCTCTGATCAAAATGAAAAAGGAGGGGGAAAAAAATATGTCAAATTTACAATACATAGGTATATAAATGCAATTGGGATGAGCTGTGTCGCCAGCCTGTATTGACCGAAGATACACTCTGTTGCCACTTTAGGAGGTACGCCTTTTTAATACGGGGTAACTTTGCACCCAGAACAGCCCCCGATTTCTTTGTGGAATAGATTTAACAAGGTGCTGGAAACACAGAGATTCTGCTCCATTTTGACATGATGGCATCGCGCAGTGGCTGCAGTTTTGTCCTCCCGCCTGACCACATCCCAAAAGTGCTCTATTGGAACGAGATCTAGTCACTGCTGCTATACTGTAGTTGCTCTCGCCAAATTCTCCCCCTGCCATCTGCATGTGGCAGCAGAAATCAAGATTTGTTAGACCAGGTGGCAGACAGTTTTATCTTCTACTATCCAGTCAAGGTGAGCCTGCAGCCACTGTAACCCAAATCTGGCCAGGCGCCTCTTTTCCCCGTTATTAACAAGGCATTTTGCGCCCACAGATCTGCTGCTCACTGACAGTTTTCTGTTTTTCACACCTTTCTCTGTGAACTCTCAGAAACTGTTGCGGCGCAAATAAAGATCAGGAGAATTTGGGCTGAACAGCAACTGAAGCTCTTGACCATGTCCACATGCATTGACTTGTTTCTTGGCTGATTTTTTTATTATTTGTTTTGCATTGACGAGCAGATGTAACAATGTAGCTATTTAAAGTGGCAACTGAGTGTACGTGACGTGACCGTTGGCGGATAATTTGAGAACATCGTTAAAAAAATCTGACATTTTATGGCGCTGGACATAACACGTTCACTGTGATATAACATCGTATTTATAAAATCTTTAAGATCCATTTGTATTATTCAGAATGCATTTAATCCATCTAAAAACAATCTATTTGAGTAAAGTTAAAATCTCAGCCGGACGACTGGTTCACCCCGATAGCGTTGACTGTTAGCATAATGTGTTATGCTAACAGTCATAATGTGTTATGCTAACATGTTAGCCTGCTCACTGTTGGCAGAAGCATGTGGGATAAAGCTAAATATTCCTTCGACTCTTCGATTCTATGCACGCTGAATTGATCAACAAAACTTTCGCAACGTTAACGCTGCTTTGCCAGTAAGGAAGACACTTCAATGCGACATTTCTGAATTAAGTTTTCCCTAAACGTGTCTTCAGGCACAGGCAACATGCATCTCGGCTAGGCTAACAATAACTGGGACAGGCGCTGTGAGAGGGTTGACTTAACTTAGGTGGCGAGCGTTAGGCTACAGGGCACAACATAAGATAATGACCTACTGAGTTTACGAGTGATTCCCTTCAAATTAGAGTACCAGTTTTATATTTGATAGACTCCATTAAAAAGTGCGTCTGTTCAAGGTAGCTCCAATGACCATAACTAGCTATCCAGCTAGCACTAGCTAACCCACTCACCTGTATTTTCTGCCATTTCTGGGGCCTTTTCAGGGACAGTTAGAGATCCTATATTTGTAGTTAAGATTAGACTAGATCAAATTCAGTTGACCGGCGGAGGAAACGTTAAAACAATAATACGTGAATAGTTTATCTCCAGTGTTTCACACCGAAGATGGCTAGCCGAAATCTGTCTGGTCCGCTCTAAACAGATTCTTCTTTGTCGTTTAGTGACAGATTTCAACCGACGCGGTTTAAGGCAGCACCGCCCCCTGCTGTCACGGACGTGTCAGGACAATAAATCAGAATCAGAATGACCTTTATCGGCCACGTACGAGTGCACAGTTTTCTCATCCTTCAGTTCGTCATACACACACGAATTCAAAATCAAAACATTTGGAGATACGTGGAAGTTGCTAAATAATTGGAAGTTAACGTACTTAGTTACGCCGCTGCCTCTCACCAGCTTCTTCTCCATAGCAACGGCAGCCGAGGCTCATGGGAGTTGTAGTATTTAAACCCGTCAGCTGAACTGACAAAAAATTATCAGAAACAAAGGAAATATTCACAACTCAATACAGAATAATGCAGCAAAACATACTTGGAATTAGAAATGGTTAATCTTGAATCCATTTTATATGAAATCTGACTACATATTTATACATATTGCATGTGTAAAAGAGAAGAACTGCTTCCTAGATGCTGCTCTTCCTCTAGGTTAATAATTAGTTCAAATGAGAAAGAGTGACCCTTGTTTTCTTTACTCGTAGTTGCTCGCTTTCCAAATGTGTCTTTTGGCTGACGTGCGGGGGGGCAAGGTGGTGACAACATATATAAATAGAGATGTGGAATTGAAAGTGTCAGTTGCTCTGTCACGAGGCAGTCAGAGATGGACAAGTTCAAGACGGTACTGGACTTTGCCAACAAACAGACCAACCTCGGTTTCGGGTTGGTGGCCCTGCTGACCGCGGGAGGGGAGCAGATCTTCTCCTCGGCGGTCTTCAGTTGTCCCTGCAGCGACCTGAACTTCTTCTACGGCATGGTGTTCCTTCTCGTGCCCGCTCTGGCGCTGCTGCTGCTGGGCTACATCCTGAGCAAGAAGGCGTCGAAGCTGCTGACGGGCGCGTGCCGGCGCGGGGCCGCGCTGTGCCGCTGGAGGAGGCTGATCGCCGCCGGCGCGGCGCTTATCCAGATCAGCACCGCCGCGCTGGTTGCGCCCTCCAGCTGGATCGCAGTGGCCCTGCTCAACGGGAATTACTACGAGTGCGCGATGACCGGGAACAACGCGAGCGCGTACGCCAGGCACCTGTGCGGGGACAAGAGCTCCCGGGTCCCGTGTCAGCAGCAGCTGCACAGGTTCCCATGCGGGACGGGCAGCGACGTGCCGCCGGTCGACAGAAAGGACGTTCTGCTCAGACTGAGAGCTCACTCTCAGGTCAGTGGTCTCCTAACAAACACGATTCGTCCAACAATACACTTTTTAAAAAGTGCTTCATATTTCTGATCAGTCGTCTTAGCAGTGTGGATAATAATGATAATACAGTATTATACTGTTATATTTTAGGCTGCATTATTATGATCATCATAGAAAAAAAGTTAAAAAACTGCACCTAACTTAGATTTAACTTAAATAACATCTTAAACAGAGGTTGATAATCAGCTATTCAGATATTAGAAGTATAGGCTACACATAAAAGTGACTGAGTAGACTTTACTGACATGCCAGACTAAAGTACAGCACGTTATGATAATTAGCAAACTTGTAATAAAAGTTCAGATACATTTTTTTCTATGCAAAAATGTGTAGATACATTCATTTTCTTGATTTGAAGTGCACTTAAGTGTTTTACTTTGACGTTCTCTGCTGTTTACCTAAGTCGGCACCCTTTATTTGTGTGCAAAAGTCATGTCAGTAGGATCCATTAACGGGCAAAGTTTGCATTTAAAAAAATCGTACTCGTTATTGTATCCTTTCATTTCACGTATTAAAGGGAAAGTTCAGATGTCTTGTAGCGTTGTATGAGGTACTTATCCATAGTCAGTGTATTACCTAGTAGATGGCGGTTCGCACTCCCCCAGTTTGGAGAAATAGACATGTGCACCAGCACGGGAGCAAAGCAATGTACTGCTGTGGACGGGCTCAGCAGCAGAATATTCTTAGACACCTAAAAAAAGTCCATATCAGTTGAAGTGTAAGCTAAATTTAGAACATTTTCCCTGCTTTACCTTGCCATCAGACAGTCTTTTCTGACGGGGAACTGAAGCCAAACCAAACACTCTAGGTTGGGTTTTTCGCGTATTCACTTTTTCGTCTCGGCCATCATAGATCTCCCTACACGTTTGGCACACACGAGGAGTTTCAGTTAGTTGGAATCTGCAATCTCGCAGCTTGATGTCGCACATCACACACTGTACCTTTTAAAGGATTAGTTCGGAATCATCAAAGTCACACAATAATGTGTGAAAACGTTCTAGGCAGCGGTAGACCAAAACTCCGTCGTTCGGCGAGGTAAAATTACCGTTTTTGTCAAAGGAGTCTAGTGGCTTCAAAGAGAGCATCGGTAACGCCCCGTCGTAAAGGGCTGTCTGTCTGTTTCTCCAAACTGGGGACATGCTGACCGCCATCTTCTGTAGGTAATACACCGACTATGGATAAGAACCTCATATATCCCCACTGCAAAACAACCAAACCATCCCTTTAATGTGTGACAAACATCTAAGTGAATTCTAAATCCATACCGTGTGTCACCACAGATCCTGGGCTGGCTGCTCATCGCCTCCGTCATGTTGTCCAACCTGCTGCTGAGCTGCGCGGCTCGGTGCACCTCCCCCATCAGCTACCTGCAGCTCAAGTTCTGGAAAGCGTACGTTCGGGAGGAGAGCAACCTGATCGATTTGTACAGCGCCAAACACGCCAAAGAGCTCGCCGAGAGGAACCTAAAGAGCTTCTTTGGCCAGAAGCCGCCCGAAGACATCATCACCCCTTCCTGCAAGCAGTGGGAGAAGATCTCCTCCCTCTACAAGTTCAGCACCAAGGGCCACTACTACAGCACCCTGCACCGGTACGTGGAGAGCTGGCAGGAGACCGACAACAAGATGATGAGGATGGGCTCGGTCATTTCGAGCGAGCACGCCGACACCCCAGCTGTTCTTGATTTTGTAGACGAAGGTAGGGTGACACCGTGACGCGGCATCAGAGGATCATCTGTGTTGGATCGGTGCTGATAATCCAGAGAGCCAAAGACCGCCAATCTTAAATAATGGACTACCTGCTTACCGCTGAGCTGCAGGCTGATGTATTTGGTCTAAGTCCAAAATATTGGACTGATTGAAATTCTGACCAGATGATAGCGCCAGATAAAAAAAGTTAAGAGATCATCGAAAATTATGCTGAGCAGAAGAAAAGAATATTTTAACCACGTATCCATAAAACCAAAATTGTTGAGGACAATTCAAAAAAAATAAAAATCTTCAATTATTTAACAACATGATGATACGAGAGGGCAGTTGGCAACATGACTGAAAGCAGGGCGGGGATTTAAATTTAAAAAATGACCAGCAGCAACAGTGAGGCAGAGTGTAAAGACAGATTCATGTGAGCCTTAAGTGTGGGTTTAAACAGGAAATGTGCCATCTTCACCTTCCTGTGCAACGAAAGTGCAACCAAGTTAGTATGAGGAACTTTTAACTGGTAGTGAAACAGTCTCAATTGAATGCGGATGCCTCTAAATGACTTTCATAAGTAAACAAGACTATCAGAGAGAAGATTGTCTATGTAGTTATTTTAATGCTTGTCATCTGTGCCACCTGGTCACATCAGACAAAATGCTGCAGGTTCACTTGAAACTCGTTTAGCTCAGACTGCAGCTAACCGCATACAGAACCAGATACAGTTTTGCCGTCGCCTTCGACCTGCAAGTCGGAGCTTCGGCAGCAGCCGCTCCTCCTCCGGCCAGGAGCAGAGCTTCGCCTTGCTGCTTCGCCGATACCCGCTGGGAGCCAACACCGACACCACGCTGCTGGAGAACCAGGCTGGATTGATGGAGGGAAGTGAGGCACGGGAGAACCAGAACCAGGACTGAGCGGGAAGGACTGTCAGAACCCTGCTGCAGTAAAATGAGAATTTGTTTTAAAGGGAATCTGGTGCTCGGAAACTCTACCACTTTTGTCCACATGGACCGCCAAAATCAACACAACGTGAAAGTTCCTCGTAGTAGCTTTAAGTGGCAACTTTGACACATATCAACAGTAATACAAATAAAGAAGAATAAAAGTGTATATTTAAGATAAAAAATACATATATTTTCATGTAATTGTGAGGCTCGAACTGATCACCTTACTGATGGTGTTACTGTAGTAGCAGCAGATAATGATGTGCCTCATACAGAATGCGTAAAGGTGGTTTAACCACTTCCTGTATAATGTCCTCAGAGTGTTTTAGTCAGAGTAGTTGCTCTTATGGGAATGGAACAGAAAAAAACCACCAAGAGGATGTGATCACTTCCTCGCAGCACTCTGCACCTGATGCTGCTGCCTCTCTCTGTATCTCTGCAGCGATGGTATGTTCTCTATGGAAACGTATCAAAACAATGAATGAAGGCAAACGTTCTGCATGATTTGTTTTACGCTTTTCCCCTTTTTTGCACATTACGTCATTCCAGATTTCGTCCTTGTCGAGTGCACGCTGGACTGAGACTTTGTTTGTTGTGTTTGGTGAGTGTGTGTGCACGAAGAGAAATAAATCAAGTTGTCATACTTCTACTCATTTCATATCAATTAACCTCTGCTCCATATAAAAGTGAAAAGAAACAGAAGCCTGACATCGTCTCAGTTCATTTGGTGTGTTTGTTTTGCCGGCATGTCATTATTTCAGGCTGCATTCCGATCACGTGACCGTCTAAGGCTGGTAAAAAAACTAGACAGGCAGGATTTATTTTTTTGCAAACGATTGCCTCGACACAGTGAGTGCTGAAAGGGGAAGGGCGGGAGGGAGAGTCAGACGGACTGAAGGAGGAGCCTTAAGAGAGGAGAGGCAGCTAAAGGGAGGGGCACAGACAGTGTTTTGTCCTCAGCTGTGGAGGAAAACGCAGGACAGCGAATGACTGCAGACACTTAACTTCTTCACTTTCAGCCCTCTCTCTTTCCCTTCGCTTGATTTCTTGCCGGAGTGTGTCCGAAACTTCCCCGCTGGCACCATGGATAACTTCCAGACTGTTCTGCGTTTCTTCATGAACCAGAAAGCCACCATCGGCTACAGCTTCATGGCTCTCCTGACCATAGGCGGGGAGCGAGTCTTCTCCATGGTTTCCTTTCAGTGCCCGTGCAACCACGACCAGAACTTCGCCTACGGGCTGACTTTCCTGCTGGGCCCGGCAGCGGTGCTGCTGGTTTTAGGCCTCTTCTTCAGCAGCAGGTTGTGGAGGCTCTACACCGGCTGCTGCCTCAATCCCATGAAGCTGTGCCCACGGGGGAACTGCTTCGGCTGCCTCAAGGCGTTCACGAGCATCTTCACTGGGGCTTGCGTGGCCCCTATAATGTGGCTCTCGGTGGCCCTGCTCAACGGGACTTTTTACGAGTGTGCCGTCAGCGGCCTCGATGATAACGTGGTGGTGGATTTGTTCTGTAAAAATAAGACCACGAAGTGTCGGGAGGAGCTGGCCCGAGTGCCCTGTGACCGGTCCAAACTGTCTGATGATGAGCGCATGGAGCTGCTGCTGATGTTCAGGGCCCAGTCACAGGTAAGAGAGACACGCACTACTCATAATCCTGTTAAAACAGGTATATCATTTCATCTGTGGATCTCGATGAGCTGTTTCAAGTCTAGAAAATAACCCTGATGATGTCATAGTGATGTCATAAGGGTTATCTCAGCTTTGGTTGGGAGACACAAAATAGACACAAATTCACAGCACAATTTGTTACAAATTGCGTGCTAAGGAGTTCAAAAGATCACGGTGTTTATCGGGCAGGGAGCATCTGATAAAAGATGCTATCCAGTTGAATTATGGGAAATTTAGGATCCGGTTTTTTGGAGTTTCTTCCATACTAGGGACTAAAAGACAGGATATGTTGTAGGAATGGGTATCATTTAAAAAATGACAATGTCAGTACCAAGAACAGTACCCTTGAAGTGATACCGATACATACAGTAAGAGTACTTCATTCGATACCCACAAACTGGAATAAGACAACCCAGTCAGTTTTTTGTGGGCCGCTTAGATCCGAAAGCATGCAATCCAGATTTGGCTCCCTTTCCTATATGTCACATGCAGGTATATTAGAATATGCAGCCCCCATCTGAGTATCTCCGCACACGGTTAGAGAAGTACCTTTGCAAATTTTCACCATATTTTTCTTGCAAGCCAATGGGAGCAGACTGGGCTCTTTGGGGAGGGGGTCTTAAAGAGACAGGCGCTAAAACAGGGCGTTTCAGACAGACGGAGAATACAGGTATATTCAGAAAGACTGTTTGAGAAAAAATAATGTGTTTTTCGAACATTAAAGCATATAAACATGTTCTAGTTGAAACCAAAAATACAAGTATTAACCTGAAAATTAACATGATGTGTCCCCTTTAAATGCATTCCCTATTGAGTACGCATCCTTTCATATCATCCCCGTATGTCTGCAGATCCTGGGCTGGTGTATCATCATCGTTGCTGCATTCGGGGGCCTCTTCGGTACCTGTTGCACAAACTGCCGCTCCAAAGTCAGCTACCTGCAGCTCACGTTCTGGAAGCGCTATGTGGAGAAAGAGAAGGACCGCTTCGACAGCTTCGCGGTGGACTACGCCACCAAGCTGGCCGAGAGAAACCTGCAGAGCTTCTTTGAGAACAAGGACCCCGAGGCGTTCCCTTTCCCCAGCCACAAGGCCTGGGAGGAGATCTCGGCACACTACACCTTTTCCAGGAGCGACCAGTGTTACAGCACCCTGCAGCGGTACGTGGAGAGGACAGACGGGGACTATGCACCGGAGAAGAGACCTGTGTTGGACTTGGAGCATGGAATAGAGATGCATTGAGAGAGGGCAAACTGTGGTGCTACCGTCATAACTGTTGGCATTTAAATCTAAGTTGATTGTATGTGCAAGTCTGACTCAGGAACAGCTTTCCTACAGAGAAAAACTGTGAAAAACCTTTCAGTGTGTTACTCCGAAGTATTTGCCAAACTTTCTGTAAGCACATGAAATAATGAAGGGCATAACCACTATTTTATACACACTCGCTCTCCCTATCTCTGTAACACTGCGTGCATTTAGGTGTTCAACCACTAACACAATGTAAGTAATTAACTAACTCAGGTACTTTAAGAAGCTGCAGTCGGGCCTTCTGAAAACACTGAGACCCATTTAAACAGACTTACAAGAGCCCTTTCGATATTGTCGTATTCTTTTTTGCTGTTAAAAAAAAATTGCGAGCACGAAGGGGCTGTTGTAAGTCTGATGAA